TTTCGAAAAATCATGACAAGGCTAGATCAAAACATACATTTCAGAGTACACCGTTCAGCCTAGGCTCAGTTTACGAAATCACTAGAGCTTAGGTCGACATGGTTGTCCGATGCTTACTGCAAAGTGGGTACGGACGGANTTTGATCTTACACTCGCAGTACTTCTCACCTCGGTACCATTATATTAGATACTACCGAGCTGGGGGCTAACTGTGGGGGGGTCAGATTCCACCACGGTAAGATCAAACCGGGGAAACGACCAAGTATGCAACCAGACGAGAAACGACTGCTCGGCCTGGTTACCCAATATCCGACAAGGTGGCTTACCAGACAAGTCAGCGGCATGACAATACAACCGGAACGGCGAAGCTGTGGTGTTAAGCCCGCCAAGTCTGGGAATGTCACTCGGAGGGAAATGCAAGTTCGAAATGAAGTCCATTAGCAGAGTCAATAACGAGACAAGCCAAGCCCAAGACATGGCAAGATGGGCCGAGTAGGTTGGCGCAGCCCATTCCGCGCAGCCGACTTTGGAGATAAGGAAGACTTCCTTATTTCTCTAGGGGAACTTCATTGACCTAGGACTATATAAGCAGATGTAGACCCTCTAAGGAGGGGATCCGGAATTCTTTAGACAAAACTCTTGTATTCTTAAGCTTTACAAAAACAGCAATAAAAACCTAACTTCAATCTCTTGTTCTGTGATTTCGCACTCTGAAGACTCCATCCCTCTTGAACCCTAAACAAATCTAACTGTGCGATTCCACCTTCCACAGGAGACCACCTCTGGAAATAAATCTGGAAAAGGTAAGCTTCCCTCCTCCAGCCCCCTTCCAACTAATGAAGAAATTATAGAAGACCTGAGAGACATCACAGTGAGATACATACACTGCCCTGATCCTGGTGAGAGTGCTGCAAGAAGAGTCAGAGTCATTGAAGGAGAAAAGAGATGTTTAATGGAGGAAACAGCAGTAAACATCTTAGCAGCAGCAAAAATAGCTCACCAATTAGCTCCAATCACTATAGAAACTCAGGGAGATCATGACCCCTCTAACGATTTACCCCTACTAAAGGAAACAGATATACCTGAGGCACCAAAGAAAAATAGAGCCAGGCCACCTCTAAGGAAAGGAAACAGTCCCATGGTGCAAACTCAAAGAAAAGATTAATGTCTCAAATCCAGAGCCCTCCTAGAAGAAAGAACTCAGAAATACATCAACAAACTATCCCTCCTAGTGAGAAGAACCTTACGAGTAATAGTACAATTCCAACTACTCGCAGAGACTCCACACTACAGTCCAGACCAACGCCCCTGGTACACAACAACATGCACAACAAGTTATGATCTGAGCCATC